ATGCATGTCAGATTGTTAGTGCCAGAAATAAGGGCTCCTACAATTCGCAGCACCTTCTACGTTCACAATGCCTTACCAGCACTCCTCCCACTCGTCCCTCTTTCCAGACTAAACTCTGGCAAAACATCATCCCTCTTCTGCCGTATAAAGTGATAGAGCCACAAAAACGAACTCTTAATCTTCTTTCCAGCACCAGGCACCCCTCTGCTGCTGCTAGCTTGGCTGCTTCCTGAAGGAGTCCGACCCAGCACCTCTTCTGCTGCTGATGACAAGTGGTGGCTTGTAGCGTACGGCAAGAGTGTCTCTTCCGTGGAGAGCGAGACGAAGTAGACGAAGGGAACGAGCCACACCATGGGAATCATGAACCCGAGAAAGAACTCGATTGAGAGATTCGTGCGGAAGAAGTAATACTGGAACCAACCGAAGTTGCTGCAGACGAACCCCACACATGAACCGATGAACTCGGGAGACCCGAGGCTGACATAAGGGAAGCGGCGGAGGATCAGATAATAGACGACGTGCGTTGCGATGCCAGTAAGAATGCAGAGGATTGATGGACGGTCGAGTATCAAGACGATGACGTGGACCGCGAGCGTGGCTTTGATGTAGATGCTAAGCAGCTTCTTGGAAGTTCTAGGATGGTCTTCGATAATCTCTGCAATGTAGTAGAGGCCGGATGCGAGAGAGATGGTGAGCAAGACAAGGAAGAAGTAGGCACCCACCCAGGCTACTACTGTGGAAGCAAGCGGCGTTCTGTACATGGCTGCTGGATTACGACAAAACGATTGGCTTGATTACGGTATCATAGCTACGCTGCGAGCCGTTCGATCTGACGGGACGACGTTATACAGCAACACAGACCACGCGGAACCCGACCACGCGTCAATTGATGGCAACAGAGTCCAGCCTAAAGTTGTCGTCCTAAGTACTGAAGCTAGACAGCGGAAGCTACACGAAGCTCAGCGATGGCTGCCTTATTCAAAACCTTCACCATGTTCGAATTCGCCAATCGACAGAATCGCCAAATCACGGATGCATGAATTCATATCTCATGGATTCACAGGTGATGCACCAAGAAGCAGCCGCTCTGATGCGGCCCGCATGGGTCGTCCAGACAGCAGAGAGCGATTGAAGGCAAGAACGACCAAACGTGAGACTGTAGGGCCTGACTGAGAGTGTCAGCTTCAACTCAAACCGTGCTGACGTTTTTTACCGCACTAAAAAGCAAAGCATCACATCAAACCGCCGTAAAGTGCAGTTTTACGAGAGAACCCCATTCATAAATATGTGCAGCGCTTGTGTAAGGTTTCCATTCGCATGTGAGAAACGTAACTAAAAAAGCTTATCACGAATTTGGTAACCCCTAGATGAATGTCTCGCAAAACCTCTTCAAGCACCAATGCAATGGTAAAACCCCCGTAACAGGGAATGGACTGCCCCGCACCTCAAGAAGCGCGCACTTCCCCGCCACAACGACGCACCCGCAGATCCCCTCCTCCCCCATTCCCTTCCCCCTTCCCCATTTCCCCTTCGACCCTGCACTCCCCCTTCCCCTTTTCCCCTTCACCCTTTTCCCCTTCACCCTTTCCCACTCTCTCCCCTGTTTCCCCCTCCTCTCCCCCTTTCCCCTCCGCTCGCCCTCAAAGCCGCCATTGCTCCTCCTCTCCTCCTTTCTCTGCCTACCACCAGCTTACCTTGCGCTCCTCACTAATAGAGCTCCTGTAGCTCGGACTTAGAGACGTCGTTAGTTTCTTCGGACGTCGCGTGAGCCATCGCCATGGGTGTCTTTATGTTCATCTGCAAACAGGACGGCGGCAGCTGGTCCGCTAAGCAGGTAGGCGAAGCAGCTCGTATCGAATCCCGAGTCCGGGCACATCTACATGTTATTTCGCTAGACGTAGCCGGTTTCCTTTTTTTGTGGGTCAGTTCCCGCTACTTGCGCCTCTCATACAAGTTTCGCCAGAGTCCCCGTCAACAAGAAGCTGTATTCTTCGATATTTTAATCAAAGTCTCGTAGTGACTTCGCTAGTCTTAGTGTCGTGGATAACTCACATTGTAGTGATTTTTTCTCGGGTGTATCCCCTCCATTCTCTCGTCGCATCATTCGATCTGGTACCGGAAACCCTAATTCCCTCAACTAGCTTCGCGGCCTGATAATCCGCGTTCTCTCCGCCTGATCCCCGTGATCCCCGTTTTTCCACATCCAACGGCGTTTCCCGCAGGTCCGCATCCCCTGTCTCCGTTTCCGCCGTGGTTCCGCTGTACGCGGCGACGGAGGAGTCAAAGAACCCTGATTGCGGAGGGGAATTTAGAGACGTCTCAAGAGTCGCATCCTCCGTCTCCTTTCCCCCGTTACCCTGCTGTTATTCCCCCGTTATCCGTTGTTTTCTCGTTATCCCGCCATGATTCCGCAGTACGCGGCGAAGGAGGAGGACAACAAGGACCTCACCGCCGAGGGGTCGGACCTCTACGCGCTCGGCCGGAAGCTCGTGTCGCTCGCTATTGAGAACTCGTCCGGCGGCGGCGTCACCTCCTTCTTCTCCTACACCACGCCCAACGCTGGCGTTTACGAGGTTAGTACCCGCTATAACATGTGCCCGGTATAAGCTCGTGCGTTTCGCCGTTGAGAACTTGTTGGACGGCGGTGTGACCTCCCTCGCCTACACCGCGCCTAACGCTGCTGGCGTTTACGAGGTACGTTGTAAGCAGATCACGATCGCCGTAGAGAAATCGTCTTGCAGCGGATACGAGGTTAAAGGAGTCGCACTCTAGAGACTGATTGGAGGGGCACTGAAGGGTGTATCGGTCTCAGGGGTATGATTATAACCGCTTCGTTGGCGTCTGTGGGGTTATAAGTCGTTTCAAATCTCGCCTTTGCGTCGCCGGGAAAAAAAAAATCCTGAAGTCAATGTGAATACGGACCCCGAGATTGATTTGATTCAAGGGGCAGTGAAGGGTGTTATTTCTGACGGCTGCACACGAGAGCCGGGGCCCGGGGCTTCTGTACTTGCTTTAGGGATGCAGAGTCTTACTAGTTTACACGTGAGGGTTGGGATCCCCCCACCCACCCCACACCACCCCATACCACCCCACGCCACCCGACCTAGTCGTGCCCCGCACCCGACCCGTTCCCAAGTCTCCTACATAGCAGCATGCTGCCGTGCCATGCCACTCCATGCCCTGTCTCGCCACTCCATGCCATGTGACGCAGGTGGCACGTCAGGCATGCTTTCCCCCTCCTGCACCACCCCCTTTCTGTCGTGGCTTCGAGATACGCCGCGGGATGGGTTGGAGTGGATTGATAGAAAGGTGGCTCTCCTGAAGTTTTGCGCCATGAGTGTATTTTTAAGACGTCTCAAAGATACACTCATTTCACGTGGATTGATAGAAAGGTGGCTCTCCTGGAGTATTGCGCCATGGCAGAGTGTGGCAAATTGTGGCATAGTGCGGTGTTGGCGCTTTTGAGGACTCTGAAAAGTGACTTCAAGGTTTGCTGACTTGATCAACTTGCTCTGTGTGCTTCCAGGTGAAGGTGGGTGGTGGCCTTGTGATGGCTGCTGCTGCCGGTGCTGCTGCCAGCGGTGGCGGTGCTGCTCCTGCTGAGGAGGCCAAGAAGGAGGAGAAGGAGGAGGAGAAGGAGGAGAGCGACGACGACATGGGCTTCTCACTCTTCGACTAGACTCTGCTCTTTCCTTAACCTCCACCAGCACAGCAGCGTACTTGTAGATGGCATAGTAGCAGGATCAGCAGCAGCGGCTGAAGCGCTATCAGCAACAGAAGCAGAAGCAGCAGCAGCAAGAATAGCAACGATAGCTGCATAGATGGGTGTTGTATTAAATATAAAAGAATGGTGTTTTTTGTTCTACCAAGTATAACACCTTATGTTGCTGTTGCTGGTGAAGGCTAAAGCCAATGCCTGTGCTGCTATTGTCTGTGCAAATTGGTTAACCAGATTTCTGCTCAACTTAATTGTGTCAAACTATGTACCCCAAATCACCTGATTTTCTAGAGCTGATTTTCTAGAGCAATACGTGGGGCACGTGCCCTATAAATTCATCATTATGGCAAATGGAACTGAACGGACTGATTATAATCAATAGGTTGATTTCAACCAGGGCCTCAGATTCGTTTTGGCGTAGGCTGACTGGTCAACCTTAGGAGTGTGTACATGGCTGATAGGTCAGTGTTGCTGTTAAAAAAAGAACTGACTTTTCAGGCTGTATATCGGAAAAAAAAACTGATCGTTCAGCATCACCCTCTCGTAAAGCCTGATCCATTTTCCGCAGACATGATACCTAGCTAGCTATCAAGTTTTGCATTGATATAAATCAAACGTTTACAGAGAATCTAGTGAAACATATCCTCATCCTCATCATCATCATCATCATCATCCTCTTCACTATCACTAGAAGTTAAAGCATCTACAGAACGGGGTTCATCTACTTGCATAGCCGCCGTTGCTTTCCCCTTCTTGCTGCAGACACCTGGGGATGGGGTGGAAATTGGGGCATTAGAAAATGGCTTCCTCTTCCTGTAGCTCCTCCAGATCTCGTCGTACTGAGGCTCGTACGGCATCAGCGACATGCACATCAAGTCGCCCAGCCTCGCATCCTTGAGGCCACTCCGCAGCCATGACTTGATCACGTTCTGGCGAGAGAAGCCCCTTTCGCACTCCACAGTGCTAAGGGGAATCACCGCCACGGCTACCCACAGCTGCACGAGGTTGGGGTAGCTCTCCCGCCAGTCAGGGGTCTTCAAAATTGCGGTGAGGCCATCATGGAAAGTCCTCTCCCCCTTCGGTGCAGCGGCACGGACGGAGCAGAACAACCGAAGCTCCTTGTGGGCCTGCCTCTTGTTGATTCCTGGCAGGGACACAACACAAAAAGATGTATGGGGAAACAATGCATGACGGGGTTCACAGTTGACCGTGGCATTCGGGAGGGAGTTGGCACGGCGATAGAGCACGAGAAACAAAAGCATGGCAGGGAGATAACCGTAAACTAGAACAGAATCCCACCTGGCAGTATCTCTTCTGCCTCGAGCGCCTTGAACAGCGTCACCAGCGAGTTCAGCCACTCGACGCATCGTGCGTGCCGCTCCGACTTGCCCTTGGGCCACTCATCCGGCAGGAACAGACGGACTCCAGACAGAGAGTCCAAGTCACTCAGCCTCTTCTCCAGGTTCCCCACGATTCGTTCAGCGAAGTCGGTGCAGACCTCAATGCAGGCGTCGTGATCACAGGGGCCTTCGTAGCCTTTGACCTTGTCTTCGTGAAGCTTGAACTTGAGTGTAGACGGCCGGCCATCGGAATCAGGCCCCTCGGCAGTCACTTCACGCTCCTTTCCTGGGCCGTAGCGCTCGATGAAGGGCGAAAGCCAGCGGCTCAAGCCTCCGCCGAAGTCGTCACCGCAGTCAACATATCGGCTCTCGATATGTGACGTGGTGCGCTTGATCTGGCCGTGCAGAGAGACCAGGTCCAGCTGCAATCAGCGCACAGACAAGAAGACAACTGTCAGCCGTGTTGCATAATAAGGCAGGGTATCAGTGGAAATCGCAACTACAACAGTACCTGGCGCTGCTGAAAGGTCTTGTTCAAGAAGTTCAACTGCTCAAGCACATCAGCAAGAAAATACATGAAGAAGTGGAACCGGTACGATGTGGCGAGCAAAAACATGGCGGAATGGAACTCCTTGAGGAAGTCGATGACAGCTGGCCACACTGCCAGGATGCGAAGCAACGCATCCCCCCGAGAGAGCCACCGGACTGTATGGATGCCCTGGACTTCCAAGCTGGTCTCGGTGAAAAGCTCCTGTAGGTCCATGAAGCGCTGGTGCTTCGGGCCGGACCGCCCCAGCAGGTCCGAGACCACGCGGATGAGATCATCCACCATGTTGAAAACAGGTAGAGCTTCTGCCGCATCCTTAGCGGCGAGGGCCTCCCTGCATGTAACAACATAATAGGTATTAGTACACCACACAATTGGGAAGAAGGTGTATGTCACACCATATAAAGAACGGAACTCACCTGTGTGCGATGCAGTGACAGGAGACGAGGTGGGGTACTTTCTCTCGAAGGCGAACCACCAATCCAGATTGACTCCCCATCATCACCGACGCACCATCGGTGCTGATGCCCGAAATCCTTTGTAGGTCAACGCCGACGGCCTGCAGGTGAGACAGCAGAAGAATCAACAAGGTGAAGGCGTCAGCTTTCTCCACGGTGATGAGTTGCATGAACTCCGTCACGACTACGGATTCCCGAACGAAGGTGGCGTAGAGAATCAGATGCTTCCCTCTGACACGATCTGTACTTTCGTCGATGGCGATGCCGATGAAGGGGCTTCTGAGGATGTGCTCAAGTTGGGTCGTCTGTAACCACGTTGCCATCGCCTGTGTGAGTTCGCCGTAGCCGTACCTGCAAGAATACATACAAGTATCATTAGCGGAAGCCGCGCAAGTATGCAAACCAATGCAAGCAGTCACAGTTATTACAACTCACGTGGTATAGTACGTCCCATAGCCCTTCTTTGGAAACCCGTGGACCCCCTTCCGCGCTAGATACTGCACCAGCTTCACCCATGTCCCCATGGGTGCGTCGCAGTCGCTGATAAACAGGAGCGCGTCAAGCAGCGACGTGACCCGAACCTTCTCCGCATCGACAGCAGCACGATGCTCGTCGATACGGGGCTGCTTTGACATGGCAGCAAGCAGGGCCTCTTGCTTCTCCAGTGCCAGCTTGTGCTTTCTCGTCCCGGCGTGCTTGCGAAACGCCTGCGTCTGGACGCCGGTCGCACCTTTGCCTGTCCTTCCACAACGTCCCCTGACACCGGCGTGCTTGGTGCAGAGACTGCATTTGAAAGCAGGCAGACCACGAACAGTTTTCGTTAGTACAAGCCAAGGGAAACGCTCAACCCACTTAGACTTATACTTCTCAAGTGCCTCGGCATAGATGGCATCAACAAGCTCCTGAACGTTTATCTTCAGAGCAGGGCGGGCGGTGGTTTCGTTGACGACAGCTTCCGAGACTGGGACGGTTGTTGAAGACTTCCAGAAGCTCAGCTTCTGCTGCTTGAGCTTCATTGTGCGCGTCGCTGACGACTTCGACGCGGACGTGCCGATGTGTACGGTGTCCGAAACACCAGGCGGCGCAGGAGGGTCGGCCCTGATAGAGTCCGGGCTTGAAGGCACGTCTGGCTCCTCAGGCACCATGGGAACGGGACTTGGTGCAGTCGGCGCAGGAGGTGGAAAGGGGCGGCCTAACGACCTAAGAAGAAGATCCAGCCCCGTGCGGGCTTCTTCGATGGCTACGCTATCGGCGTCGTCTAGATCGGCGTCACTGTCATCGCCGGCGCCAAGGCCAGCCATGGCGGAACAGAGACGAAAGGGAGCCGAGCACAGAGAGAGCGTGCCGAGCACTGAGAGAGCGAGCAGAAAATTGTTTGGTGCTAGAGGCGAATGAACAGAATTGAAACCTTAGCGGGCTAGGGTGTGGGGGTGGGCTCATGACGCGGGCTTGGTTGGCAAGCTAACCGTGCCACCCAACAAGGCGACGCGCCCCAAATATTCATGCACGTATCTGGTCGCAGCTTCGAGGTGGGTGGTTTGGGGGGGTTTCCTAATCGCGCGGCAACCATTTTGTGGTGCTGTGCTGCTACAGCGTGCGTGCGTGTTGCAGCGCTGTTAACAATCCATTCGCCAGTGAGTGATGTGGTTGCCCAAAGAACCAATCAGGAGCGACGATACCTTCGCGATAAGACAGCAGTGAAGTGGATGTTCGGGAATGATGCCATTCCCCAGTGCGTTGGCAAGGAATCTTGCCATTTCGGCGTGATTGACGGAGGCGGGGTCGAAACGGTGTACCTAGACTTCCGGTATTCAGGGCACGTACGAGAATCTCCATTACAGGGATTTCAGCCCAAACCTATGCTACAACTCTGACGAGACAGCGTACACGACTAGAAAAAAACTGATATTTCAGCACAGTCAGATTTAAAAAAACTGAACTTTCAGCAAACACAAGTTAAAAAAAGCTGACACAGCAGCCTCAATATCCCCCCCACCACTGAAATCACAGCCTTTTTACCCCTAATCAGCCTTTTTTCTCTGACTTCAGGGCCTGATTTCAACACTAAAAAATGCCCTTACGGTATTCAGAACTGGAAGGGGGGGTTGCTCAGGTAGTGCTGCTCCTGGCTGCTGACTGGAAATTGGGGCCTGAGTGCTGTACGGTGGGGCCTGAGTTGTGCACTGCACCACATTGCACCGCATTGAACCACAGTAGGTACGGCTGCGCTTTTGAGAGATGCAATGGTTTGAAACTGGAAGAGGGAGTCGCTGGAGTTTCCCACCCAGCTCCTGCAGGGCGGCAGCCATGGCCTTGTTCTGAGGAAAGGTGTGCACACTGCACTGCACTGCATTGCACTGCACTGCACCATGTGGCACCGCTCTACACCTCGGTTGTTCTAGTGAGGCTGACTTAGAACTGGAAGAGGGAGTCGCTGGAGTAACCCAGCTCCTGCAGGGCGGCAGCCATGGCCTTGTTCATTGGCGGGGGCCCACAGCGCACCACCTGGCAGCGCGTGATTGGAGGGAATGGGCAGCACATTATTGGAGGGAGGAGATGGCAGGAAGAATTGGGCAGGATTGGCCAAGACAGGGAGGGTCGGGGCAGCATTGGATGAAACAGCAAGTGGGGAGGGGGACCGATCAGAGAACAGGGAGGAAGGGTGAAAGTGCGACAGGCATGCAGCAACGCAAGTTTGTGGCGAGATTCAGCACGCACCATGACATCAGGAGCAGGTGCAGGGATGTGCTCCTGGATCATTGCCGGAGTCACAAAGCCCACTCCCCCTGTCCACCCTTCCGGTGGCTGTTGGTGCGTAGGGAGGGAGGGAGGGAGGGAGGGGGAGTGGGCGGAAGGGAGATAGAGACACAGCAAGCAGGTGCAGGGATGTGCTCCTGGATCATTGCCGGAGTCACAAAGCCCACTCCCCCTGTCCACCCTTCCGGTGGCTGTTGGTGCGTAGGGAGGGAGGGAGGGAGGGGGAGTGGGCGGAAGGGAGATAGAGACACAGCAAGCAGGTGCAGGGATGTGCTCCTGGATCATTGCCGGAGTCACAAAGCCCACTCCCCCTGTCCACCCCTCTGGAGGCTGTTGGAGGGAGGGAGGTGGGGAAGGGGGGAAGAGGGGGTGTGGGGGAGACACAGCAGGCAGGTGCAGAGATGTGCTCTTGGATCAGATGGCTGGGGTCTCAAAGCCCACTCCCCCTGTCCACCCCTCTTGGATGGGATGAGAGGGTCGCTGGGATGTGGGGTGGGAAGTTACAAGCACCGGTGGAGAGGTAAGTGATAGTAGGCGAGCAGCGAGCGTCGTGAAGTGAGGGTGTTTTTGAGACGTCTCAAAAACACCGGTGGAGAGGTAAGTGATAGTAGGCGAGCAGCAAGCGTTGAGTCAATTCTTTAGTCGCCTATAAAAATGAAAAATAGTTTTTTTAGGCGCCTCAAAATTACAACTGGTGGAGAGGTAACTGATAGTAGAGAAGCAGCAAACACATTCTTTGAATGAAAGCAAATGGTATCTTGTCCACACATACTGCCACCTCGATTACATCCCCTATTGAGCACACGTATAAAACACACCTGGTTAAGCACATAGTAGATGGAGAATCGGTCAGGCGCCGACTTGTGCAGTGCCTCTAACTCATCCTGCAGCAAACGGATTGGTTACAGAAGTGGAGGGATGGAGGAGGGTGGAGTAAGGTGGGAAGGGTGATTGGTTGGAGGTGGTTGAATGGGTAACTGGGATGAATGGGTAATAGGGTGAGGGACTAGAGGCAGATGGGGTACGTGATACGAGGGACGCATACAGCATATAGGATAAATGAAAAGGCTCGTAAGGGGTCACTTGACAAGACGGACAATTCTTGTCCTATTTTTAGAAAAAGCAGGCCCCAGCAGCAGCACACTCTGTATGAGTTTGGTTATGAACATAGCACAGCACATGTAAAGAGGCCATGGCACAGCGTAAGTGTGTGCGCACCTTGAGCAGAATATCATCGGCTGTAACGTTGGCAAAGATGAGGGAGATGTTTGTGCGGTCTGATGGGTTCTCCAGAATGGCTCGTGCTACCTGGTTCGGGGAGGATGCAGAAAGAGGGAGAGATGGGGAGAGGAGAGAGGAGAGAGGAGGGAGATGTTGGTGCTGAATCGTGCGATCATGGCTTTTGAGTCGACTCAGAAGTCACATCTGCAGCACAACACAGCCATGCCCAACCCATCTGGAACGTGGGATTCACCCCAGTGCTTCCAGCGATCTTGGTTTGAGTTGACTCAAAATCACACATGACGCACAGCAGCACCATTCCCAACCCATCTGAAGCACAGCAGCACCGTTCCCAACCTACCTGGAACATGGGAATCACCCCACTGCCTCCTGCAATCATGGCCTTAAGTCAACCCTCCTAGCACACAGCAGCGCCTTAACCCACCTGGAACACAGCAGCACCACTTACAACCCACCTGGAACATGGGAGTCACCCCGGTGCCTCCTGCAATCATGCCAATCGCACGGCACATGTTGGGGCGGTATTTGAAGCGACCCTGGGGGCCGATTGGGTGGGGAAGGCAGGAGGGAATGGGGCCAGAAAAAGCAGGAATAAGGGGGGTAAGGGGGGGGCGGGGGTGGTTTGAGTCGACTCAAATGTCACCATATTTGATGCGCTGTGACATGGTAGCATAGTGCGAGCGGATTAAGAAGCAGCATCAAGAAGAACTGCATCAGGAAAGGTTGGGATTCCAGTTACCGTGAACAAAAGTTCCCCTCCCATCTCACCTTTCTCCACCGCTCCTCACCTTTCTCCACTGCTCCTCACCTCTATCCACCGCTCCTCACCTCTCTTTACTGCTCCTCACCTTGGGCCCTCGCATGGCAACGAAATTGCCGACCTCCAGCTTGTTGAGGTACTGCGACATGGCGCCATTGGGGTAGATCTGGTGAGCGGGGAGGGAAAGGATGGGAGAGTAAGCACACATGGTTGATTCAACACGAGTCAAGTCAGGAGCAGTCGAACTCCTCCAGCTTGTTGAGGTACTGCGACATGGCGCCGGTGGGGTGGATCTGGTGAGAAGGGGAGGGGCGGATGTGGGAGTTGGCATGCACGGTTGATTCATTATGAGTAAAGTCAAGTCAACTCAAAAGGAAATGTTTGGAGGGGAAAAGGGAGATGGAGGGGGGTGAGGGGAAGAAAAGGGAGAAGGGGGAGGGGAGGTGGCAGAGATTCAAGGCGGAACGGGGGGGAACCTCACCTTGATAGCGATGTCGACGCATCCAACATCGGTGTCAAGCGTTGTTGGCGTGTACGGCCGCATGACTTTAGGATCGACTCGGGGTGGGAAGGGAAGGGGAATGGCAGCACGTCACCTTGATGACGATATCGACGCATCCGACGTCGGTGTCGAGTGTTGTTGGCGTGTACGGCCGCATAAACTCCTTCCCGCTCTCGTCCTTCCCCCTGGTTGGCGAAAAATGATCCGAGTTGGCAATGCGTACGACGGAAAGTAAGAAACTGGTGGGACAGCGGAATAAAAACCGGCGGAATAGGTTAGATGGAAAAAGGAACAGCAGCAGGAGGAGCTGTTCGAGACGTGTCAAGGAGCATTTCTACTACAAGCTATTCTTACTGCAGGCTGACGTGTTGGCCGATGGGGAGTCCCAGCACCGTGTCGGGCGATTGAAGCGAGAAGCTGAACTTGACGACATTGTGGGTGATGTTGGTGCGATCGATAAGCTGGAACTTGCGCCATTCCTCGGGATGGAGAGCCACTGCAAGAAGCGACGGAAGGAGCGACGGGAGGAGCGACGGGAGAACACGGGAAAGAAATGAGGAGGAGATAAGACTTTCGAGCCTTTCCGACGCGCTGATCCGCTCAAACGGTTGAGAACACCGTTATTGTTCCCCAGTCAGTAAAGCGGCTGAACGGAACAGGCGGAATCGTCTTCTGGATTCAGAAGGCGTCACAGTAATATCGTCTGGGTTCTGAGATGTGAATCTCCTTCTAGAAAACAGCGTAGACGCCTAATCTAGATTTTCAATCGAATCGGATTTGGCAGCTTCGTAACGGAGAGAAAAGCGCACCTTTTCTTCGAGGCTTCGTGTTGAGGGACACAAAGAGAAGCAGGAGAATTCCTCCAGCGGCCACAGCGACGACAACTGGCAGAGGTACCGGCCAGCCGTCAGGAGTGGAACTCCATGCATCTCTCAGCGACTGCAGGAGATCCGTAAACTGGGCCATGGCTTCGAAACGTTAAAAGACTAACTGTCCTCTATCGCTGAGGAATCTGTGTTATAGTTGTATATGATGAAGCC